ATGCTCTGCCACAGGTAACAAACCTCTCAAGAACCTGAACCCCAACCCAAAAGCGGTCCGAGTCTTAGTCTGGCCCTGCAAAACTTCGCCTTCCGATCCTTGTCCGAAATTAGGATTGCTGCGTGATCAGTGCAAGTCCGATGCCACGAGCCACCAAAACATGAGCTTTTGCTTGGGACATCTCTACTTAGGGTTTAGGGTTTTGGGTTTTGGGTCTCTACTTCCTTGGCTAGCTTCAAGAGCGAGTTGCCGGATCTACCAACCTTTTTTGCCTTTATCTGTCTTTTTGGAGTCTCCAGTAGAAGCCCAATGATTCTGAAGACAGGGGCACCCTATAGCCTTGCTGCGTCCTAATACTTTCAACAGGGTTTTGGTATGTAGTATAGTTATTGTATGCAGGAATTGTAAGGGGAACATACCACCAAGCCTTCAAACCGCCAGAATAGATATGTATAGGCCGGGTTCGCACAGCTTAGGTCGCGGCAACACATTGAACTCCTTCGCAGCCGCCGTGCTGCAGTCCACTTCGAACCTGGGTTCTCAGGGGCATTAAATTTGGCTTGAAGGTTTGAGTGCTTTGGGTCTTGTGGTTTTAGTTAGTGCTCTCAGCAGCACCGAATGTTTTTTGATTGCGACGGTTGCGCTCAAGCTTGTTAGGGCTTGGGGCTGTAGCTTTGGAAGTTCCTCAGAAAAGACAACTTGACCCACTGGCATACAATCAGCAGGATCCATCCGCCGTACAATGGCTATAGTTACTATGATCGTAACGTCGCAACAGGACAATAACCTTTGACTTTAATCAAGGGTGCTCATGCAAGGGTTTAGGGTTTCGAGCTCCAGCTCAAGCCATCTAAGGCAGCCTGCGCCGAGTGCTCTCCAGCCGAAACAACCCAGTCAATCCGCTGAATCCCAAAGGCCTAAAGCGTGCTACAGCTTGATTCAATGTTGAGTTCTAGAATGCTCTAGACAAGTTTGGATTCTATTTTCCGGGTTTCGGCTTCCTGCAGATGACGCTTTCGGAGAAGCTTCTGCCGAAAGCTAAACCCAGGGCCCCTGGCCGTGACACGAGTGCCAGCGGTATGCCGCTGGCGAAGGCAGTGGCGAAAGGCACGCCCTGCGCCTTGCTGATCTCAGAAGCAAGCTCTGCACAGTATCACTTTTTCGCTGTCGTGGGGTCATGCACGGCTTCAAAGCAATCTGTATGGAAGGTACGGGGAAAGTTCTGTTAAGGCCTCGCGCTCGGGGCTTATTTCGGCTTGGCACCTTCTGCAGCAGTTAGGGGTTGGCTTTAGGGTTACCCGGCCGGCGGGCTCAACGGAGGTCTACAACAGTACATCATTGGAACTGGTACCCTGAGCACATGCAGGCCTTCTGCAGTATCATGCTGCCCTGCAAAGTTCGGGGAGTCGACAATACCAAGGACCAAGTGGCGCCTCCTTCAAAAGCCAGCCAACAACATTGCCACTGACACCTTCATAGTCATCCCTGATAAATGAAATGCCACTGTGCTCAGAGTCTTTCCTTTCAGAACCTGAAACTACATGGAAACCCTCGCGACTCGCGTTTTATGGGTCTAGAGTCTAGAAACATCCTCACTGTCATGGGTAGTTATAAGTAGGATAACTATACTTATAACCCACATTAGGCGCAGCTTCGGGCGCTTCGGGATTTGCGAAGAAGCTGAGGCTTGACAGAGCCGACCACGATCTCAGCAGGCCTCTACAGCAATGCCCCAGGCGTTTGCACCTGGGTTCGGATGTCAGGATTTGGAGTCCCTGGGATTGGGGTCCGCAGGGCTATAGACCCTTTGAGAGGCAATGGTCTTCGCCACGAGGAGAGCAGAAGAGAGACTGCATGCATCCCTGACTGCGTCCGTTTGTGACGATTCGGCTCAACCGGGGGCCTCGATTCGACCGCAGGCTTCTTCAACGTGGGGTTTAGGCAAAAGCGTATCGTCGAGAACCCATCCCCAAGAAAGGTGTGGGGTGCCGAGGGGCCTTTGAGAAAGCTCACGACTCACACCAAAACCTAGCTGAATTGCTTACAAAGCCCCTCTGGGGCCTACACTCCGAGCCTTAGGCCACACATCTACGTCCTGACCTCTCGGACTGCTTAAACCGTGTATTCATCCTAATTGCAAACCGTACGGGACCATAACCCCTCATGGTAGAAGGCCACATCCTACATCCGAGAGTCCTACCTCCATGTTGAACTCCAAAGCATGTAGACCCTCGAGGCCCGAAAGAACCGAGCGCCGAGCAAGCACTTCTGTGAGGCGTCCGTGTCAGCGGGTCTACCAAAGAAGGCTCCACCTTCACAGTTGCGCCGCAAAGACGTGGGCATTTCCGTGCGGCTCTCTTCTCTGCAGCTCAGGGTCCGGAGTTTATAGGAGCTAGGATTTTGGGGGCATCGGGGATATAGACCCTCTCAATAGGGTTCGACTAAGAGACCCAGACGTAATTAGGGTTCAGAACGGTCGCCTTTGAGGGGTCTCCCTAATACTACCTAGGAGTTTTACTATCGGGCCATCTGGGCTTTGCCGTCAAAATGATCAGAGTGCATTCTGAAACCCGTGCCCCTGAGCTTGAAGGGTAGAGGTAAACCGCTTGAAGGTTCACGGTTACTTCTAAGTACGGCTCTGGACTCTGGCCCCATGACACTTCGAGCGGGACAGCGCTTGCACATTTCTCCCAGCTGGCGCAAGCCAAAGCTTCAAAGCAGTGCGGGGCTCAGGGCTGGGATGCTTGGCCTTTTGTTCTTCTTTTCTCCGGCTTCCGTCGCAAGCTTTGGGCCTTCGAAATGCAGAAGCCCAGAAAGCTCAGGCAGCCACGCCACTCTCTGGAAACTCGAAAGACCTCGGTCTTGGCACGATCAGCGGCCCGGCGGAGCCCTAGGGCCTCGATTCCCAAGGTCCCCCAAGAAATCGAAATCCCCTAATCCGAAGCCCAAAAGATGCACTGGCAACCCAAGGACCTAAAGTCAACGATGAAACATAGGTTCAATATCTATATATATAATTATATATATATATATATATATATATATATATATATATATATATGTATGTATGTATGTATATATATATATGTTTATTTATTTATGTATTTTGAACTTAAACTCGCAGGCAAGGTGAGAAAGTGTCGCAACTCCTAGTGGCCCGGGTGCCCGCACAAGTTGACGAAGTGCTGCCTCCCCGCCAGCAAGGTTCCGTGCCTGAGTGTCGGATAAACTCTGCTGAGGGTTGTTGGCTTGGAGTCTCGGGTTTAAAGTTTAGGGTTTAGGGTTTAAAGCCTATATAAACCCTAACCTCGGGTTTAGGGGCGGTTGTAAGGTCTGCCCTGTGGTCTCTGAGCACGAGCTTCTTGGGCTGTGATTCGCAGAGAATCCTTCGGAAACGAAGGTAGCAAGAACAAGGGTTGGACTGATGAGTTTAAGCCTCAAAGCCTTCAAAGCAAAGATCTCGGCAGGCAAAGCCCACCCCCCTGCTCAATGCACTGCACCAAATGGCTCATGCTCAGGATCATCACCCTGAATCTTCTGAACAACCAATGCCGCCGCCGCCCAATGGGCCTTTTCTTACGCCGAATCCTAAACTCCCCAAGCGCCTTCTGAAGGTTCTTGGCTGGTTCAGAAAGTCGCTCAAAGCCATGCTCTAACCCCAAACCTTGAGCCAAAAAACAGCAACAAAGAAGACCAAGCCCCAAATGGGCTCCCTGCAGGCCAGAGATCCGTAGCGAAGAGTCCGAAGGTGACCTTTCCCACTTCAATCAGCTTGTAGGGTTGAAGGTTGCAGGGTTATAGAATCTTGGGTTTAGGGCTTGTAGGCTTTAAATCGTTAGAGGGCTTACAGGGTTTATAGGGTTCATGGTTTCGGGCTTGGGGTTCAGAGTGTACAGCTGTTGCAGTTTTAGATTGCCTTGGAGAGTTTTAGGGGTGTCGGCTTGAGGCTTTAGGGGTTTGGGGTTTGCCCACAGGTGACGGAGAAAGTGGCTTCCCTTTTTGGGTCGGGACGGTCGAGGCTTTCAAGTTGGAGGATGTGGGCTGTGAGGGGTGACTATTCTGATTTAGCACTCAGGTTCTAGAGTCACAGACCCATGACGTTTCATGCGAACTTCAATCGGCGGACCTCCAGGTCTGTGAGGGGCTGTGACAGGATTGTGCAGGATCTGATAGTCGGGCTTTCGTGGAGTCTTCGCAAGGTTCTGTTCTCAATCAGTTCAGATAATTAGCGTGGTATGAGCTTGCCGGGATGTGCAAAAATCCAAACCTCAACCAGCAAGGCCAGGCAGCATTCTTCGGTTGGGATGTTGCTTGTGAGTTTGGGGTTCGTTCTGATTCCTCACCAGAGGGCTCCACTCCTACTAAGACCGCAAGCAACCTTGGTGTCTGAGCCCTCCCACCCAGTCAGGCCGGCGGCAGTTGCCAGATCAACAACCTGCCGTTGGCATTACAGGTTTTACTATTACTATAGTTATGGTCATTATTATGGTTAGTGGTTGGTACTAACTATTGCGACGATAGATACTATGTATTATGGTTCTTGCTATGTCGATGCGAAGAGGGCAACTGTGCAGGAAAAGCCCTGGAAATCGGAGACCTACTAACCCGAAGAGGGATACGCCTGGAAAAGCTGAACCCTTGCAACTGCAGGATCTCCCGGAAAGCTGGAAGTTTCAGACAAAAAGCCAAGTCCTAGAATACTAATACTAACAAGAGTAATAGAAAATGAAGTTTGTTAGAACAATAACAATGATAATAGTAATACTCGATTCCTAGACACAATACAGCACAAGCTCTGCCTCGGGGAGGTTCAGCTGACCGCTCCGCGGCAGACGACGGAGCGCCTCAGATTCTGCAGCACAGCAGCTACGGTTGTGAGAGCCGTGCATGCCAGTGAAAGAAATGCGAGAGAACGGGTTGGTTGCAAGCTCAAGCCTTCTCGCTTTTCTTGCTGGCTGCAAACAGTCCTGCATTTTGAGTTGACAGTTTTAAGTGAAGCCTCACGTTGGAAGCGGGCTCAGCTCCGTGTGCTCGCCGGCAGCTTGTTCGTTCTGCGCGGCGAATTTGCTAATTTCACGGCTCTTCTTCTTTACCTCCTCCCTCAGCTCGACATTGTCGACTTGAAAGGCATAGGTGGGATTGAGAAATAACATTGCAGTGATAAGGCACATGTGCACAGGGACGAGAACAACAGCAAGGAACAACAAGCATGAGTTGAAGATGGTTGAAGCCGTGTTCAGCTCGCCCGCTGCAGGCCAGCGGCAGGGGCCGAAGCCTACCTCTTCGCGTATGAAAATTGACGTCGTGTTGGCCTCCGCATTGAAAGATACCCCGGTGTGGGATGACAGGCACGCCAGAGCCTCCTGGCATGCTGCTACTGGCTCCAGGAAGTTTTGGCGCAGCACCTTGCGGCCCATGGGTCGCCCAAGTGAGCCGACGGGGAGAAGGCCTTGAGGAAGATCGAGACAGCAGAGCGCAGCCCAAGTGAAGAAGCGGACGAGTATGAAGGTTGCAGGGATGGCCCCGGGACCAGGAGGATCCTTGCTACCAAAGAAGCTCTTCGTCTGCGTGCCTGCCATAGCACAGGGCACTGCGACCATAGATAGGGCGGTGGTTCCTAAAGCTTTCACAGCTGGCAGGCCACCCCACAAGGCTGCCACTCCGTCTGCTGCTGCTCCCAGAATGTATCCAAGCAAAGTTGCGCAGGGATGCAAGGTCGCACTGACCACGGCAAAGGCTGCCAGCTCCCCTGCAAAAGCACAAAAGTACCAGGCCGTGAAGAGGGCGGCCTTCACCGGGCGCACTGCTTTGAAGGCATAGGGTTCGGCGTTGGTACCATTCAGGACCTGGCCCGGTCTTACAAGCATGGCAGGAAGGTCCATACGACCCTTGCGCTACGTCACTGCACAGTCCGGGCTGCTAGCTGCTAGCGTTTTCAAGCAGCCTGCCTCCATCGCCAACCTCCCCTCGGCCATGACCTTGGCGGAGCTGAGAAGCCCATAGAGCGCACTGCAGGCCTGGAGCGGAGAGAGCGGCAGAAGAGAGGCCCCGTAGGGACCGATGAGTCCGGTGGAAGGCGCTTCGATCAGGCGCTCAATATGGAAAACAATGTTGAAAGACTCCGTCGCCACGCCTCGTTTCAGCGACAGCCGGATTTCGTGCAGCGGGGCAAATGTGTTGAACTTGCTTCCTTCGACAATCGAGATGAAGGTCACTCCAAGGCTGAGGACTATGAATAAAACCATGAAGCCGGCAAACCACCAATGCTTGTTCACGATGAAAGTGCCAATCTGAACCACATCGTTGACCACATCCTGGCGTGCGGAGTGTGGGGACTGCGAGGGAGCCCAACTCCGAAGAGATTCTGATGACAGCAGCCTGTCTGAAGGAAAAGCAATGCGGCCAAGGCTCGAGCATGTACATGCTCACTTGAAAGAAGATCCCACCAGGTGGGCAAAGAGTAAAGGCCACGATGGGCGTGTAGCCTGTGGGGGGAGCCAGGGCTGCCATTGGTGCGAACTCGGAAGGCAAGCCCCTGGAAATTTCGTGTAAAGGCTGATCTTCGTCCTTGAGAGCAGAACCGAGTCGTCTCGTGATCCTATGTCACCAGACTGCTGCGATTCCTCTTCCGGCTCCTTTTGTTCGGAGATCGGTGGACGGTGTCTCTAATACAGGGGCCTCAATCTGTAGAATAGGGTTTGGGGATATATTATACTAGAATCACAACCAGGAACCTCCAGAATACTGTTGGCAATTATTTACTATAATAGCGGCCTAAATTTCCTTATTGTAATTATAGTATAGTGGGCCCCGTAACCCTATTCTAATTCTTAAGGCCCCCACAGCAGGCCCCCATATGGGGGTTTCCGAAAATAGGGGAACCCCAAATAGTAGGATGATCCCTATTATAAAGGACCCCTAAATAAGGTACCCCCAATTTCCGGAAACTCCCATATTGCTTTGGCTTTACGAAGTTCAGAGCTAGAGCCTTCGGGGCTTACGTAGGAGGCCAGCCAGCTCTCTTGGGCTTTGCTGGGCTCTTGTTTAAGGAGCTGGATATAAGTTACCATAATAGGGATCTTTAGTAAATCATATGGTTTGAGGGTTTAGGGGTTTAGGGTTTAGGGTTCTTTACTATGGTAGCTTAAAATCCTTCAACAAGAACCCTGTTTAGGGTCCAAGGCTCAAGAAGAACTCACACTCCCTTCCTCGACGTACTCATGGCTTATGCTCCGGTCATCACAGGCGTGGGCTTTAGGAAATCAGGGGTTCAAGGTTTACCTTAACCCCAAATAACCTTTTTAAGAACTTATATAAAGAAATCATATTAGGGGGCCCTAAAAAGGTAGGTTCCTTGGGGTCCAGGTAGGGCTTAGGGAGAGGTTTAATGTTGCAGCGTGGTATTCTTCTGTGGCTTCGAGACTTGCCAAGGGCAGTTGTTCCAGGAAGGATGGCAGTTTAAAGGGGCCAGACCGATTGAAGATACGCAGAATAGCAGATAATCGGTAGTATATGATATAAAAGCAATAATATAATGCATACAATAATATTACATAACATAATGTCATATCATATAATATAATATGTAGTCTATAATATCATGCTCTTTGAGCAGCTCTGATGTCGAAAGGCGTGGCTTTTCCCCAAGCCAGGACCTCCCAGGTCAAACCGCGAATCTGAAACCCTGGCTTTGAGTCTACAGTTTAGGGCTTAGGGTTTATAGGGTTTAAGGGTTCAAGGTTTAGGGTTTGTTTAGGGGTTAGGGTTTAGGGCTTAGGGCTTAGGGTTCAGGGCCCAGGGTTTAGGGGCTCTATTTTGTGGGCTTAGGGTTTAAGGTGATCAGTCGCACGACACTGAGACCAAGCCGGGGGCTTAGGCTTTAGGGTTTAGGAGAGATCAATCAGCTCTTCTAGCCCAACAATCCTCCGATTATCGCTTTGGAGTTCAGGGCTTTCTAGGCTTAGAGCTTAGAGTTGGCAAACTGAGTTCCAGCACCGACAGAGAGGATCCGAAGATGCCAAGCACTGAAAAGCCATGGGGCAGACCTTGAAAGGGTTTCGGTGCTGACATGCTTTCGTGGCTCAGAGTTAACGATGTCGGAAACACATACCATATCAGTTATGCTACAACAGCGGCTCCCCCTCCACAAAAACACAAACACACACACACACACACACGCACACACACCCACACACACACACACACACGGCAATCTATGCGAGCTTCACCTGGCTCATAACTTTAATTCGGTAACTCCTTCAAACGTCGTGAAAATTCCGCGCTGGCTTCTCCGACGCGGAACTGAAGCTGCACAAAGGCCCTTATGTGATTTCGGTTCAGGAGATTAGAGTAACTCCGAACTCTAAAAGGAAAAAAAATCCGGTGCCGATGCAGCCGCCAGGACACATATGAACGGATGAAACTCATGCCTGCATGCACGCCATCCATCCATCTATCCATCCGTACCTACATACTCATACATACGTACATACGCACATACATACGTACATGCAAACATACATATGCATGCATGCAGACCTTACATACAATATATATATATATATATATACAGTATTAGAAGAGCCATGTCACATCTCGTGGAACGTGGAATTCACTCATGTAGCCAGATGACACTGTTTTGGGGTTCCATATTTTAATTACAGTATGCTATACCCCAAAACGCTATTCTAATTATTATTATTATAAGGCCCCCATACTAGCTCCTGAAGCCGAGCCACTGAGCAGCAGCGCATCCTGCGCCGCAGGGAAGCTGAGCCCCAAAGCCCCAGAAGCACCCCTGAGCCAGAGCCCTAAACCCCAAACCCATAAGCCCTAAATCCTAAAACCCCACACCCCTAAGTCAAAATAGCCCGAAAGCGCACGAAGAGCCAAAACAGCATGAAAGCGATGGGCCTTCAAGGATTTGGGGTTCAGGATTCAGGGGGCGAGTTCGGGGATTTAGGCAAAGATGCTCCGAATTGCTAGGACACTGGACTGCGGCTGCGGCGGGGGCAAGATCTTTGTGTTTAGGCTTCCATCCGCAATAGATACTCATGCCACCTACAGCCTACATCCCTACCCCAGTACTTCTACTTCCAAAACTTCAACTTTAAGCCACAAGTCTCTGATTGCAGCCCTTACGCTTAATAAATTGAGGTTTAGGGTTTAGGGGTTTACGGTCTAGGATTCTAGGGCTGGGTTGAACCTGAACACGGGATTGCCTTTGCTCCCTTCTACCAGGCAAAGGACAAAGCGGACTACTGGAAAACCTAGGACAGCGGTCGAATGTACAATTAAATAACTATCAATACTATTTTGGGGATTCTTTATTCTAATTCTAGTATAATATGTCCCAGAACCATATTCCAATTAACTATTAAAGCCCATGTCCTCGAGGTCCCCGGGTAGCGAGATGCTAGTGTTCACCTGTCGGGCATTCATCTGGTTCTGAGTAGGGAATGGGGGAATGGATTGTGGAGACCAATAGAATATTGGGGATTACATAGGGACTACTACAGCATCCCTTCCCCCATTCCCTACTAAGCACCGGGGGGTCTTCTGCGGCTTCGGAAAGAAGGACTCAAGTTCAGGGTTGTGCAGTTTCGGGGCTCGCCGTCAAAGGCTGGAATTATAGGGGCCTTAAAAGTTAGAATAGGGTTTTGGGGCCAATAAACTATAATTTTTGTCCCCAAAATAGTATTGGTATTTATTTCCTCCCCTATATTACGAATTCGGCGGGCCCTGTCGAGATCTCAATACCTGACTTCGGGTCGGCGGGTCCCAGAGTTTTGGAGGACCCTCAAAACTGAATGTGCATGAAGAACCCCAACCCGTTATTGAAATGCAGATTTCCGAAAGCGAGGGGTACGTCTTGAATATGTATATGTATATGTATGTATGTATGTATGTAACTGTATGTATATGCATATCCAGAATCATGCATGCATGCATGCATGCATGCATGCATGCATTCATGCATGCATGCATGTATGCGTGCTTGCATGTATGTACGTGTGTAGACTATAAGTGCAAGTAGACATAAGGCCCCTCTGATTTGTTGATCATGTAGCAGCCGTAACACGTGGAATAAGTTTCGGAGCACCAGTGAACTCCAACGAATAGAACTCCAACGAATAGTTCTACTAATATAGGGGGCTAAAATAGATACCAATACTATTTAGGGTGTTCCTTAGTATGAATATGGTATAATGGGCTCCTAGACCCTGCTCCGAGGCTCCTATGTTACTTACCCTGGCTTCCTGCTGTTGCAGAACTAGTAATTACCCCACCCTAAACCCCTAAACCCAAAACCCGAAACCCTGAACCCTCTGTTAATCTATGGTAAAAAAAGATGGTTTCCGTATAAATTATGGTAACTTTAAGCAAACCCCTCAACAAGGACCATACAGTACGAGTCTATAAAGGGGCAAATTATTATTGAGGTCCTAATTTACCTATTTTATAATGAATATTTTTCAACTATTACTCAGGGGGGATCCTCGAAGCTCAGAAGCGCCCAGGCTCGACGTTGGAGCAAAGGCTCCGCGCGCGAAACCTCAACCTGCATCAACAATCTCGAAGGGGAAAAGGAGGGACCCTTAATGGGGAGCCCTACCCCGTAATGGGCTATATAATGGGTATATAACTGCTATATTAAGGGTATATACCTAGGGTTCCTAACCCTAAACCCCATAATGGGCTATATAATGGGTATATAATAGCTATATTGAGGGTGTATACCTAGGGGTCCTTACAAAGGGTCCATCCTTTTCCCCTTTGACGATCGAGGGATGGAGGTCGGAAGACTCTAAGGCTTCCGGGGTTCAGGGTTTAGGGGTTTAGGGGTTTAGGGGTTTAGGGGTTTAGGGGTTTAGTCAGTAGTAGGCTTCAGCGCTGAAACACTCTGAGGGTTTAACACCCTAGATTAGTCAATTCGTTGGGGTTTGCAGCCTTTGGGCTCAAGCGACTAAGGTTTAGGGCATGACAGAGGTTCAAGGTTTTTGGTCACAGGTAGGGTTCAGGGCACTGGAGTTTAGGGTGTGGCTAGGCTTCGAATGTCGCGACCCGGTGAAAGCGCGTTCCAGCATGGTTTGGGAAGAACTCACTCTTCACCCTTTGGCTTCAGACTATGCGAGTCAGCACCATGAAAGACAGTGTAAACATGCGTGGCGACTTAATATATATGGATGCTGTATTTAGACAGAGGGGGGAAAAGACAGGTAGGGTACATAGGAGCTGGCTTGGGGATTTTCTTCTGTCGGGCAGCTGGTGTATCGGATTTGCAAGATTGAAGAAGAACGGGTACATGTTCGGAGTTTGAACAGCAACCCAGTACCTCTATCCGGCGGCCATTCCCAGAGACCGAAGGCATGGACAAAACAGTACACAAAAGTGGTTAATGTCCAGAACATATGTAAATTCTGAACCCCAAACCTTACACCCACCTGAACTGGCGCAAAGTACCAAATCATAAGCCACCATAACCTATTTTAAGGTATGGTCCGAATACC